GCCACGCAAATCACACCCGCAGATGGTCTATACACATTCAATCATCCAAGGGACTCGGCTCGGCTCGGGGCTGGCAGACGACGAGTCGAAGGGCTGCACATGGCTGCAGTCACCGCAGGGACCCTGTCAGACTGGCACCATTTGGAATCTCCAAGCCGAAGGATCTATGCAACCTCCAACATCCTCCAAACCAGACGCCTCTGTTGTTATTTTGGTTCACCTCTAAAATTGTCTTAAAACCACACACCTCCCACCTCCCAACACCTTCTTGCCCAACAGATCCGCAAAAATTATCCTCCGTCCACGTGGTGTTGACGTCAAACCCTGCACCCGAGGTCCTCAAGGCTCACTGCTTAGAGTCCAACGTCCACGAGGCCATTGCCCAGGAGCTCCGGCAGATTCGCAGCTCGCTCCTGCGCGCGCGGGGGGACGCTGACGAGTACCCGTGGCAGCGGCTTCCGAGAGACTTGCTGGGGGCTCCTCACAGTGGCTTGGAAGATGGGGGCACAAGGAGGACGTCGCGTACATGATGTGAGTGTGGTGCAGGAGTAGGATGGAATAGGTGTAGTGGTACTGAACGGATGTACACTGCAAAAATCTGAACACTTTGGGGGTGGACATGTTTACTCGGCTTTGATGGGCTGCAAACCAATAAACCACCCAGAATCGGTTGCTCTCCCACGATCGAATTGACCAAAATCCGCCGACCTCCAACCATCGTGCGAGAGGGGTCGATCGACGTTGGTGGTGATTTGCGGTCAAATCATAGAGGAGTCGCGTTTTTCTTGCTGATATTTTTTTTGTGATATGGCTTGACTTCTTCTCCTCTTTTTTTTCGAATGGAGGATGAGATAAGCCTAGTGAGTCTAGGAGATGTACAACCCATGAGACCTACTCGGTCCGGGCAACGGATGCGGACGTCAGGGCCACGATGGGGATGTCATGACAGCTCTCAACTCTCGACCAACAATTGCGGCGGCGAAGCGTCCTGTGTACGAAAGTGGGTGAAAGAAGGTGAAAATTAGGTGACTTTGGGAAAAAATGCGACACCTTTGCCCGCCTGCTTGAGCCCCGTTTCACACATGTTTCATTGTTTTTCCTGCATTAGCCGTGCACAGATTGCTGTGAAGGGATTTCTCTGATTTGCTTCAGAACTCTGATTGCCTGAACTTCGTGTGGTGGGATTTCCCATCTCTGATTTCTTCCTTCAGAACTCCAGGGATTTTTTGGGAATGGGGTGGATTGGAAACCCGAAGGGGCCAGTCTCATGCTGGGCCACTTCATGGAGATACAGTGTGGTGAGACAAGCAAAGACAAGCAAAGGGGCTCAGGCCTGAGCGGAGTTGGGGTTCTGTCCCAGTTGTCAGGTGTTCAAGAAATCCAGTCAGTTACTTTTACGGCATCTTGCTGACTGAGTGACATCTTGCCGTCCAATACCAATTCTCCAACCATCCACAATTGTTTGCTCCCTTGATGATGCGAATCTAACAACTTCCATGAAACAACCCACGGGATGACCTCCCTTTTTCCGTGACGCGGGAGCGCGCTCGCACCCCATCAAGCGCCCGCGCCCGCGCCCGCGGCCGCCGCACCCGCCCCCGCAAGGCTCTCTTGCTGCTGATTGGTTGCGGCGAGCGCGAGCGCGAGGGCGCCGAAACCCTGGGCCCCAGCGCTGAAGAGGTCCCCGGACCGATGAGACTTGGACGAAGGGGGCGGTGTGAAGGTGGTAGCGGGACTTGAGAGATACACAGGAGAGATGGAGTCGAAACAAGTGGACAACCCACAAGTCTTTCATAGTCTTCCCACATTTCCCAAACCAGGAAATTGCATATCCAATTTCCCAAATGTCCCACAGTTTATGTTACTCCAATTTATGCAATGTTCCTTTACTGCTGGTATTTTTGAGAGTCCCAAAGTCTGATTTTGCGCTTCCCGCTTGCTCGAGGTCACCTACAGTCAGACTACTCGGTTAATTCTGTGGATTTCTCGGTTGATTTCTCAGTCTTTGACTTGCAGAGGAGATGGTTGAAGGATGTTGAAGGTGACTGGAAGTTCCTTTCTGAAAAGGACAGTCGAAGCTCACTTAGAGTGACTGCGGTCTTTTGGACCCACTGACTTTTGGGTGAAATAATGAAAGGTATTTCCTGTGCAAAAAAACACACATAATTATTTTACCTATTTTTACCTTATATACATGATTTATACCTTTCATGTTCTTTTTTGCATTGTTTACATGTATTTACTGTGCAACACGGGGTTCGAATTTCCTCTATTTATAGACGACCATGGCGCCCCTAGGTTCATGTTCGGCCATTTTCTAGAAGTCAGGATAATTTTGACACATACGTTTCGTTTGTACAGGAGTAGAAAAAAAACACCTGAAAGAAGAACCCATGGCTTGGGTCATGTCACCCAGTCTATCTTGTCATACTTGTCATGTTTGTACGAGGAGTAGACCAAACCTGAGAACATCCATGGCTTGGGTTTGCCCCCCCTGCTTAATTTAGAAGTAGCCGACCATGACCATCCCCAATAGGTTCAATGAGCGACTAAATACAGAAATACATGTCCCATTTGTATCCATGTGTGATCTCGTGAACCAGTAATATCCAGTGACCGGGTTGTGTTCAGGATCTGGCGACAAGTTCGCATGGCCCTGGCAGATGGTCCGGGAGGCCTTTCTCCCCACGGTCACAGTCGCTCGTCGCAAATCACAGCTGTTCCTGACATCCCAGGAACCGGTGGGGAAGCCGTTTTGGGTCCTGTGGCACGGGAAGGGATGCTAGCAGCTAGCAAAAGAATTTGTTTAAGACCTGGAGCTTTCCAAAAGGTAGCCCAGGGATAGCATGACGCCAATGGTTCTGGAAGGTGTGAGCAGGAACAGCCGTTCTTAGTTCCTCAAACAATCCTGTTTCTATAATATGATGTTGAGCCATACCCTGGATGATTCTCCACTCTTTGCTGACTGCCACATGTGTTGGAGACCAATTCATTCATGTTGTGTTGTTCACCTCTAACCACCGAGTTTTTGTATGGCAAGCTAGTGACCAGTCAGTGACCCTTTTCGTTCGTCACCTGCCCTCCTTCCGACGTGGAAAGAGGTCGCGAAGGACCCAGAAAAACATAGAAAAACGCTTTCCACGGTTTGGGACGGTGCTTGGAACGGTGTCCCAATGTGATCAGATCGAAAACGACTGAGGACGGTCAGTCAGTTTGGGCAAAGAAAAGCGCTTCTCACAGGCCCATGTCATCTCATGGTCCACCTTTTCAGCAAGGTCTAGGCCACAGGGGAAGAGATCCTTTCACTTGGATGTCAAGTTGGCAAGTTGGATATTGAGACGAAGCACTCTCAGGTCGAGCCGTTCGCAAAGCCACATCGAAGTTCAATCTCTTTGAACCTCACAGAAGAAGTTTGATCACTTCATTTTTCAACTGAGGGGGGGGGGGAAAGAAAGAACACATCCTATCCCACCATCCCAGGTTTTTTTTAGCTGCCTAGTTGATCCATCCCTTATCCATCCCGCATCATCCGCATCGGAGACTTCACATGTCAACTGTCCTGAGCCGCTGAGCCGAGGTCCAGGCCCCAAGACCTCGCCCAGCAGGACCTCCTCGCGCCAAGCGGACCTGCGGCTCAACCCTCTGTCGGGCCCACGTCGCACGAGCCCCGTGAATGGCCGCGTGGCCGGTGATGTTTGGGAGGAGAGGGGGGAGGTGAAGGGGGGAGCGATGGACCAAATCGTGGTGGATCAGAACGAAAACCCTTTCACAACCACACAGATTGACGAAGAGCTGCTCCAAGACGGTTTATGTTTGAAGAATTGCACGTTTTTTTTCACCTGATTGCTTCATGTTCGATTTTTGAGATGAGGGCGGATGTTTTCGAGTGCTGTTAGAAAACGAGTCGAGCGATGGTCGACCACGCTAAGTCTCTCTCTCGTGGAGTCGAATTTCAAGTTCGACTCTTTGAGGGGAAAACTCGTGTTGAGAATTCCATCGAATACCTCATTCGATGGATCAAGACAATCAAGCTGCGAAAGCTGCGGGGGGAAAGGGATGTCGACACACATCACCCACCACAATTTGACCGGGCAATGACAGGAGGACATTGTCCAGCGAAGTAGTGCTTTCTGTGTGGCTTAGCCAGTTTCCTTTTCCGCAGGGGTTTATCAGTACAAGTCTTGAAGAAAGGGCTATAAACCAGCATTTGCAGACCTCCAGGGGTTTCAGTCTCAGTGGCAAAAGAAAGATAGCAAAATCACTGGGAAGGTGGGGATCCCTCACGGAATGTCATGGGGGTTTTGGAATGCAGATGAATGCAGATGTTCAATGATTCAAGTATTAGAGATTGTGCAGAGCCCCGGCCCGAGTTTCACGACAAGCGTGAGTGGACTGAAGCGCGGACCGTCGACAGTCAACAGTCAAGACTTAGAGATGTTCTAGACTTGAGTCATTGAGGTCTTAGTCTGAGGCAACTTTCGTGAGCTTCTAGGCTTGTGCTCCTGGGGACCCGTAGAGCCGCTTCCGGCCCGGCCGTACCGCCGAGCCGGAGCGGGTGCGGGTCCGGCCGACTGAGGTGACGTGAAGCGGACAGCCGAAATGGCACCGCAGACCATGTTAGAGAAAGTGGACTGGATGATTGCGAATGACCGGGCCATGAGGTAGCTAATGCAGGTAATCAACTATCCTTTAGATTCTAGAGCGGGCAGATTGCACGAAGAAGGACCCGAACAAAAAAGGCGCCAGCGCCGCGCCTCGATGCGGTGCCGGCAGCTGCGTGCTTGCTCTGGCTCCGCGTGGGAAAGTGGTACCTCGTGAGTTCTCTCTAGCCGTTCGGAGTTGCAGCATGGAAAGCCATTTCTGCAGAAGATCCTTCCCTTCTAGCTTGGTTTGCTTGGTATGCCTTCATTGCTGTACCATGGGCCTCAACAGTCGAGACGGCATAGGCTGGCAAGTCGAGACGTCTTTGGTACCATGCATTTGGCTTTATTCCGTGTGAGGCAAGAGTACTTCGAGCAGTTGCAAGCCTTTTTTGAAGCACTTGGATCGCCCAGAAGGGACCGGAGGGGGAGAGTTTCCGAGCGACGGAACGAGACGTTCGGTGCCAAAATCGAAGTCGTTCGGTGCGGCGGCATGGCGACGAGGTTCGGTGGGTAGTGCACTTGGAATGGGAGACCGGGAGACCCCCTTTCTGGGTTGACTGGTCCATGTTGCTGGAGCTTGGTGCTAAGCGGCTAGACATGGATACATATATCTGGTCAGTTGAAGACATGGTGGATTTGGTGGACCCTCTTTTGAGGGGCTGACGTTGGTGGACCCGAATGTTAGAACTAACCTGGAGCTGGTTACGTGGATGGCCCCGATAGGAAGACCATTTTCTGAGTACCAAACAGAGGGTTTTCACTCCACTTCCATGTTAGTTCCAGGGAGTGTAGCATCCTTTATTCTTGGAGAAGGTCTTCTTCAACTCCAGATGCAACGGAATGGAGTCAAAAGGTAAAGCAGAGGTTCTGGTCCGCTTTGGAGAAGGTCATGAGTCATGCTTGAAGGCTGCCAAGGCATGATGACACTCCCTCCTTACAAGCATCTACTGTAAGCTAAACGGGATTCCATTATATTCCCTTTACCAAGAGTTTCAAAGGGGTGCGATCCATGGAGGTTAGGGGTGCCCATTACCCACTCACTTAGGGACTAAACACCACCCCTTTGTGACCCCTGGTATATAATTGTATAAAATTGTTTTACAATATCTTACTATCACTCGTAGACCGACGAGCTGCGTTTGGTATGCCGGACTCACAGGTCCGCAAGCTACCAGGTCCAAAACAGGGATTGACCACGTGTCCAATCTCCTGTCAGCGACGATCCCGAAGAGGGAAGGCAAAAGAAGTCCAGCTGTACTAATGCGAGGTGCAGCACCTATAATGTAACCTTGAGGGAGGGTGCGGCCACGCGCTCGAGGCTTTGTGGAGTTAAAAATCTCCCGAAAATGGTTGCGCAGCTGGGTCCTTATGGAGAGCCATCAATGCCTCTCGAATCACGCTGTACACAACAATGTGCAAACCCAGTGATCAGGCTTGTGCCACCAAAATATGAAGATGTCTCTCTCTCTCTCTCTCTGAGTATACTTCAAGTTCATAAGTCACTTCCAAGTTCTTCACGCGGACCCAGTTCATCCAGATCTTGAAATGCTTTGAAATCTCCCGCATTGGCTGGGCAGTCCCCAAGGTGAGGTGGAACCACGTGGAACCATGTGGAACAATGTCGGTCCATGTCGGTACCGTGCGTTGTGGAATCCGTCCACTATGCTCTCGATCCCCTTTCATTTCAGTTTCCAATAATAGGTCCACGACTTCTCTACAAATGCCCGTTTGTCATGGTTTGTCGGGTTTGTGATGTATTGTTTGTCCCATGTGTGCCAACAAACAGACTCCTCACATGGGCAAACGATGTTGGACGTCCTTGGGGGGACGAGAAGACCCTCCGCGTCACGCAGGAAAGCCTGGCTGAAGCAGTCGCAGTATTCCGAAGATGCAGCTGGGATGCCCCAGCGAGCTTGGGGGCGTTCTTGGCCGGCGTTTTTCGCCCGGTTTTTGCCTCAGATGTTGGGTTTGCGGGTGTAGGACGGGGAAAGATGTAGATGCGGAAGATCTTTTGTAGAAGAGCACTAAAGCCCTCGATGTTTTGCAATGTATGTTTTCCTATCCAAAGGAGTTTGGGAGAACAGTAGGAGTGTTTGAAAGAGAGATTTATTGTACCGGTGACGTACTTCACAGCTTCTGAGCTTCGCTTTGCAGCTTCGGAGGTGGTGGGGTGGAGGAGTGTGAGACAAAATCCTCGACGATCACTACTTCGCATCATTGGGCACTGAAGAAGGGGAAAGGAAGTGGTGAACGAGAAGAAAGGCAACACACACACAAAAATAAAGAAATCATGCTCTTCGAGGAGGAGGAGGAGGAGGAGGATGATGCTGCTGCTGATGATGATGACAATGATTATGATGATGATGATGAGGAGGAGGACGATGACGATGATGATGGTGATTGTGATGGCGATGTCGTTTTTCATTTGCTGACACAGCATCAAGAAAAAAGCTTCGGAGCTTTACACAAGTTGGATGAGCCAACCTCACGTGTTCGTCGGAGAAATTGGTCCTTGCCCTCCCTGGTCGCGAAGTTTCACAGCGAGTGGGAACACATTTGGAACACAGTGAGTTTGCATCCCCCCGCCGTTCCAAGGACCTAAAACCTGGTCCCGAGCGACCTCATGAAGTACGGTTTTTGACGGTTTTGGTCTTCGACCGGATTCCCGGACCTGGCTAGTCCCACCCAGACACTCTGGCATATTGGCATAGATTGGAAAACGTTGAAAAGGGGCCAATCTATATAGTCATATAATCATATATCGCAATCATGGAGCCGCCCTCGGACGTCCGCGCATTCTTGAGGGCTCGGAGACGGGATGGCAGCCCTTACTGGGCAATGGTGCCAGGCCGTCACCAATGAATCGGTCGGGTGGGTTTCAGAAGGTGTCAGAGAGTTGGGGCAGCTGGTTGCTGTTGTGAAGCTGCAGAATTGGGGGCATCTGAAGCTGGATTCCGAAGGAGATGGCTGGCCAGAGCATGTCAGGAGTCAAAGAACCATTGTTTCCAGCCCCAAAATGAGCAGATGGAGTGACTTTCCGCCCCCGACATGGCCCAGTTGTTGTGGAAAGATGCCATGGGCCATAGCCAACCCGGTCGAACGAGAGAGAAGGGGGACTGAAAGGACCTTTTGGACCGTTTCCGCCCCAAGGACGTAGCAGATTTGCAAGACCCCTGCAACCATCTTCAATTGCGCATGGTAACCTCCGGTGAGTCATCTCTAAGATCCAAAAGCACTGGCCGAAAAAAGCCAGCACCTCACCTCCATGCATCTCCAAGCCATCTTCATGAAGCCAAGAAGCTACTAGGTGGAGGTCAGCGCTACTAGGTTGGAGGCCATTGCTACCGCTACGTTCGTCACAAGAAGAACCCGAACGTAACATCTACGTAGTAACAAGAAGCTTCCAAAAGGGAATCGTTTCACCTGTAGTAACAAGAAGCTACCCCGCCCCAGCCATCAAATCGTGAAACCGCTCGGGAGACCTCCGCTCCACTGAACCGCTTTGTGACGCGGCGACCGCCCGAAGACCGCCCCAGGCGAATGGGCCTTGGAGGCCGAAAATGGAGCTGGAGCCGACCAAAGAGTGGAGTGATCTGGTTCATGGCACCGGATTTTCTTGGATATCCCTAGGTGGATCACCCCAAGTTCTGGTGTCATTTTCCGGTGATCTGGAGGGATCTGGTCATGATGCGGTTCGATCGCTGTTTGGGGGACGCGTTTGGATGGCGACGTGTTTGGATGGCGACGAGGCCATGCGGCCTAGGTCGGACCGCCAGACCATCGACACATCCTGACACGAAGCGGAGACGATTTGTTGTCCATGCTTTGGCCCAGGGCCCAGATGGTTTGAACAGCACGTGCCAAGGTCATGGTCCATTGGTTCTTTTCGAAGGTTGGAGCCGTTCGGATGCTCTTGAGGTAGCAATCGTGCATAGCAGTGCTTCAGAGCCTGAGCCTTCGTTAGTCTTCGTCTTTGTAGCCCGCACATGGCCGAAGCGGCCAGAAAGTGATCGGGCGAAGGCACCTTCCCAAGCTGACGACATGGTCCTGGTGTGTAACAGGTTTGTTTCTGTTGGACACACGAAAACATACGAACACCATCTTTCAAGCCCGTTCGCCTTGATAAGACCTTTGAGCACCCAAAACAGGACCAGCGAACCTCGTTGACTAAGACATACTAAGACTCTTCTTGACTTGGCAAGAACGACAGAACGAAGGCCCTCGTTTCCTTTCCACGTCGACGTTCTCGGCGTCGACGTCGGGACCGGTCGGCCGTATTCGGCCGGAATCGCGGTGATGTCAGGCATTGCGATCAATCGCTGAGGCGGTGGTGCTTTTTGGGGGGAGGGGAATGAACGAACAGGAGGAGGAGTCGTTTCAGTATGTTTAAGTAAACTCCCTATCATGATGATGTGTTTGAAGGATTTTGATGATGTATTGAATAGTTGATGAATACGCCGTTTGTTTCTATCAGTGGGCCCCACTCGAAGTGTCTCCGGGTGTGACGAGATGTTATTTTGGTTCACAGGTGCTGCCCATTGCAGCTGAGGTCATGTCATGACTTGGTCTTCATGTGCAGTATAATTTGTTTTTGTTGCGGTGGTTGAATACATTTGAATACTGTAATTACCGAAGAATGGTCCTATGACCCAATGGGACACTGAACCACGGTGCCAAAACAATTAGAGACTTCTGGATTGCAACAACTCCAACTGGAGCCGCACACCAGGGCTTGGACTCGCTGTAGGGTCGAAGAGACCGCTAAGAATATGAGGAATGCATGTCACCCCTGCCGACCAGGTCTTGACATCAAATTACATCAAACTACTAATTCGAGTTGTTTCACTCCAAATCCGTCACATCAGGACGGATTTGCACACTAGAGCAATCTAGAGCATCAAGCTCGTACACTAATTTATACATTGGAAAAAAAGAATAAGCTAGGTTCATCTATGTTCTATATGGCTCTAAACAATCGACTGAGTGACGTTTCGCGTGAGCAACATGCCGTGAGAACGTCTTCGTTTTTAGAAGCGGGCGCTCCAGGCCACAGAGATTGTGCAAGGCAGTGCTAGTCATGCACTAGGTTCCATACTACGACCACAAATTTTTGGTGGTTGTTGCAAAGGATTTTGGACCATGAATTCCACGGTTTCTGTCCTTCTCTCCTCGTTCGTTCCCTCATTGACTCACTCATTCGTTCCCTCACTCGCTCCTTCCACTCGCTCCTTCCACTCGCTATCCACATTGTTTCGCCAAATAATTCTTTGCGCTAACCCCGCACTATATTTTATTTATCCTTTTCTATTTATGTTTCGTTTGGCATATATTATCGGTTCGAATCGATGGATATTATTAAAATAATCCTATGAATAATTTTATATTGATAATATATTATATAATATTTTTTAATATTTTTTAGTAATATTAATAATATATTATATATTTTTATTTATTTAATTTCTATGTATATATATATTTGTGGGTGAATATTAATGATGTTCTATTAATTTATTAATAATATATATATATTCTTTCCCAATATATTTATATTATAATAAAACATATAAATTTGAATTTATTGATATTTTGTTGATGATATATTTTATTTGTAGAAATTATTGATATCGATTTTTTTTATGATTTGAAAAAAAAAAAAATAAAATAAATATATATATATAGATATAGGAGGAGGCCGTGGCAGATGCAATTTTTGTGAGAGTGAATGTCGCGACACCAGAACGCATGAATGTGGGATCCTCTTTTAGATCTCGATTATGATGGGACACACCTTTTAACCTGAACACTTCCCATTATGCCTGTCATGCAGAAAGCGTCTAGGACCGGAACTACCGAACCTAGCTCCATCTCCATTCCGACACCGGCTTAGCTAGGTTCGAATGCGGCATCGTCGTCCACGCCGACCAGGCCTGAATCGCCTGTCCATCGTGCCATTGCGGTTGATGAGTTTTATGCCTCTCCATCACCACTGCATGCATGTCTCCACTGTCACACAAGATTCCTGACAGCCACAGACCTTGAGAGACACATGTCAACTCATGGACATGAAGTTTAGGCAGATGGCAACCTAGTTCGTGCCGCCAAGATTCCGAAACTTGACACAGTCCCGGCTATGTTGACCAAGCCTAGTCAGGTCATTGCGACCCCGTCCAAGTCGTTTAAATGCCCATTGTGCTTGGAAATGATTGGCCGTAAGGCCTTAGCCGGCCACCTGTTTAAGGAGCATCAGGTTGTGAAGCCATCGTTCTTTGTCTTCCGCCCTAGTCGTGACATGACACCGGGACGTTTAGCATGTGCATACTGCCATACCACCTACACGTCCGAAGCTGCCCTTCGCTTGCACTACCAAAGAGCAAGCTGTCCCATTTTGTTGATTGAATGGGTCAAAGATCAACACTTTGGACCAACGGTGACGCCACCTGTTCTCACTGAGGCCTCAGAAGCTTCGGACCCAGAGCTCCTGTATTCAACCCCTAACTTGATCTCAGGCAGATCAGTTCCGGCCGTCAGTGCCTTGTGCATCCCGATAGACACGCCTGTGTACACCAGCGACTTGTCTTGGCCATTGTTGACCACCGCATCCATGACCACAGTGCACGAATTGTTTAGCCAAATTTCTTTTTGGTCAGAGCTTCGACTTCGCTGGTTTCATACGTTTGTACACTGGATGGCTCACCTGTCAGATCTTCCGCATCTTGACCTTGAGGCCACACTGCATCACAAGCTTCTGGACCTTTGCACGTTGGTGGTTCCGTGCCATTGGGCTTGGGACTCAGCCGAACAGACCCTACTGCAATATGATACCATTGCTTTTCATTCGTCAGCCTGGATTCAGCACTTTCTTTTTCACAGCCTGTTATATGAACTGGAACACGTGCTGGCCCAAGACTGGTTCCATCGGTGTCTTGCTTTCAACCTCAGAGATGGAACGTATGAGCGGCGACGATCAGTCTTTTGCAGAGCTGATGGACGTCTGTGGCAGTCACTTTGCCAAGCGTCCAAGAACGGAGGAGGAGGACAGATTATCCGATCGCCGCACTACCCGAAAGGGACAGAGGAAGCCTTCGCGCTCATCGGCTTCGGACTTGGGAGAAGATGGCAGCTTGATCTCCATGCTTGCGAAGTTGACGCTTCGACAAGAGGACCAATTGAACCAGATCCACCTCGACAAGAGCTTCATCTTCTTTGTCCAAGCAGGAAAAGGCAGCATTTTGCCACTGATGTTGAAGACATCAAAGGACTGGCATGGGCAACGGGAGGCGGGACAAGCAAACACCTCTCTGAGACAACAAATGTTTCGCACAGTGTTCGAGGAACTTGCCTTCAGAGCTTCGAAACTCCCTTCGGATCAAACGATCACGAACTGATCAAGGTCCTTCAGAACAAGCAGGTATTGACTGCCTCCAACTCCTGGAACTATCTCCAATGGAACTCCAAGGAGAAGACCTTGAAGCCAGCAGCCAGAGATCCACTCCCATCCGAGGAAGCCGCAGCATTGATTCAGAAGATCCATACTCTGGCGGCTCAAGCGGACCTCATTCACCGGTTCACAGCTTTGAAACCAATGCCACAGGATTCCACGGTGACGGACTCAGTGGTGGTGCCTTGGAGATTGGACATCTCACTGAGGGGCCAAGCAGCACAAGATCTCTATGCAGCCCTTCAACAGCTGACAGGCAGCGGGCTTACGCAGCTGATCTTTGTTCGAATCCGACCATCGACCTTGCAAAGGTCACCATTGGCTCAGGCCGTTGCAGCTCGCTTGATGAAATGAGAAAAGCCATTTTGGCACTCTCCTTGGGGAATGGGTCCAACCACTGCTATATGAATGCAGCTCTGTTGGCAGAACTATGGGCATGCTGCATGACTGACACCTTTGTTTGGCACGCAGTTGGAGAATGGAAAGAACCTTTGCTTCGATTGCTTTCGTGCAGCAACCAGCATCAGGTCCTGACTGACCTCGGCTGTTTGGGCCACCTTTTACATTCATGGTTCACAAATCATGAACCGGGGACACAGCAAGATTCTGCTGAGTTTGTTGGCTGGCTTCGACATGCCATGCACGGGGATGAACATGGTGGTCAATCCACCTCTAAATGGGAGGCACGGCTAGAAGCGGCCACTGAGGATTCAGGCCAATTGTACGCTCCGATCCTCCTTCAGCAGACAAAAGATGGAGTGTGCACGATCCAGGACCTGATCAATCTTTGGCATGACCAAGCACCTTTTCACTGTGGTTTTACGCCAGAAACAACCACCGTATGCCTTCAAGTGAATAGGTACCCTGCCATGGATGTTCGATCCCCTCAACCCATTCGCTGGAACCGCATTCCTGTACACTTGCCTTGTTTCGTCAATGCACACAGCTGAACAGTCCATTGGAAACGTTTTGAGATAGTTTCCGTTGTGGTTCACCGAGGGGCAGAACCTCACACCGGCCACTACCAGGCCTGTCTTCGCACCGGAGGCTGTCGCTTCCTGACTGAGGACTGGAGTCGAGCAATGCCATGTGCTCACACGACAGACCTTGAGCATGATTTGTATGTTCTTTGGCTTGTTGACAGCACACACCTCACTGAAGCATGGAGCTCACTCCTCGCATGCAATCCTTTCGTGCCTTTTTCGAGCAGCCATGACCACTGACGCATGATGCCGCCCGGGGCAATAGATGCGCTAGACGCAACCGATCTACGGATTGAAGCCCAACACGGGCAGAGCTCTCTCTGCCGGAAGTGAATAATAATAATAATAATATATAAATATATATATAATTAAATATATTAATTTATATGTTTTGTTTGTGTATACAAGACAATTATTTATTTGGGATATAATTTATGAAATAAACACTAAATTTTCGGATTTAATAATGATTTTATTTATATATATTGTATTATTTTATTTGGATTATTATATATAATTTAAATATATATTTTTTCTATATAATGTTTGGATCGATTCGTTTGGAAATATATTAATTCAATAGATATATAATAATAATTCTACTAAGATATTCTCATGTCTTTTATGTTAAGACGCGGTTGGACGGAAGGCATTGGTTGTTTATTTTTGGAAGGAATATAGTATTGACAAATTTGTATGTTTATCATTTCGGCCAAATCGAAATATGTTTGATGACAATTTAATTTGTGCACATTGCTTGAATAATGACCCAACGAGGCACTCTTTCGATTGCATTATTAAAAACCCAATTGTCCGATTTTATTCATAGAATCGGTCAAAAAATAGTATTTTGAATTGGTCTTGATCATGATCGTTCCACCCGCAGAACTTCCTTCAAGCTCCCGTGATTGGTTCACCGGCCGCATGCATTCCAGCTGACCACATCCGGTCTCATTATTCCGGAAGATGCCCCGCACTGGACACCGGAATTGACACGGAACTTGACATCTTCTCAGCAGGTGGAGGGTCTTGTACAGATCCCTGGATTTCTTCCTTTTTGGCCTGAGTTCAGATTTCGTTGGTGTGTTGACTTCATAACACGCCTAGTATATATTACGACCTGCCATAGATTGTTCTTCCGCATTTTCAGTTCCTGCACCTCTGCCAGCTGCTGAGCCCCATTCATTGGGCTTGGCATTCAGAAGACCAACTATTGTTCATATTTGAATTGATGGAATTTCATGTCTCACCGTGGATTCAGCATGATTACTTCCAAATTTTGTTCTATGAATTTGAACATGTATTGGTCCAAGATTGGTTTCATGCATTGAGCCTTCGAGATGGAGCGTATGAGCGCCGAAGATCAATCTTTTGTAGATCTGATGGAATTTTGTGACAATCATTTTGCGAAGCGGCCCAGGACGGATACCGAGGAATGATCATCAGAGCTTCGATATACCCGAAAGGGA